CCGTCTGTTCTTGTAAATCGAATATCTCAAGAAGGATGAGAGATACAGACTTGAAATTTTACAGATATATGTAAAAAAAGTAGTTGAACAAATGTAAGTAAGAGACAAAAGGTTGTTAACTTAATAAAAGTTTCCGTAAATTGAGAAAAACGTAAAAATTATTGTGACGAAATTTTGTGTATAGATGATGAGCAGAAAGAGTCCTTTCTACAACAAATTCTTAAAAGCTAGAATGTAATTATAAAGAGATTTGACTGTATTAGCTTTTGAAGTTCTTATATTAATTTTATTAAACTAGTGTTAGTTTCTTTATTTATAACAAAATCTCTAAATATATAGTATAGATACACAATAATAATAAATATTTTATTAGCATTAATCTTCACTTTAAAAATACTTCTATCAAATTACTACAAATATATATCTCTATTAGAAAAAAAAACTCTTTAAAAAGGTTAAGAACAAATTATTATACTTTATCAAAATCTAAAATATAAAATCATAATTTTAAAAGACTTAATAATATCTTTAACTCTTATATTAATTGAATATCTTTAAAAAAGATATTATTCTAGAAAATCAACTTATTAAATATCTTTTTTTAATATTAAGATAAAGTTATATATACATATTTTGACAAGTTATTTATATAGGAGTTTCCTAGGCTTCGCACCTCTGCGTTATAGTTATATATCGCCTGATCAATTAAATTTGAAGATTATGTGTGATACGTAAATTAATTTCATGTAACAAAAATGAGATATTTTGTAATATCTCAAAATTTTGTCTATTAAACCACCTTTCGTGTTCTAACAAAAAAAATTCTTCGCAAAATTTTGGCATATACTAACTCTACCTAACCCCAACCTTAGTCCTAACCCTAACCCTAATCTCAATCTAATTAATTTTTTATACAAAATTGTTTTGACACGGATTTACAAATTATAATTTATATGCATGCGATGAATTAGCACATCGGTGGGTGCGGCATATATATTTATCCATTTATATATATGTTAATATAGAATTATAAACTAATTTATTTATAATCTAAGCCTGCTAGAGTAGTTTATATCAGCATATATATTATTTAGCTTTATATTTTTCAACTAGCTAATTCTAGTAATTACTATATTTCTCTTAAGTCTTACTATTACTAGTTATAATCCAATTTGGTATATTAGGTATTTGCTTCTAATGAACTTCTTATTTGATATATCTGCAAGCATTTCATTGCAAGTTTTTACTAAGATACTTTATTTATATAACTGTAGCTGTTGCAGGTGGCCTTTTTATAGTCCTGTATTTTAAGTCAGAAACTTGTTGTCTAGTTAGGTTTATTATATAACAAAGCTGGTTGTTGAATTAGATAGCTCTAATCTTTCTACTTATCTGCTCAAATAATAAAATAGATAATAAAGGTTCAGTTATATTGGTTTCAAATTTAAATAAAATTAGTTTAATTAATTTCTGATATATAAATATAAGTTTTTAGTATAGAATATTTCTGCAAGAGAAATAATTTATTAATAATATAATTATTTAGTTTGTTTAAATATTAATGCAGAATTTTTTAAAATTTTGAAATAAAAGATAATTCTTGCTAGTATATGTTTATTTATTAAATTTAATGTAAAGTTTTTTAAAAAATAGTCAAGGTTTGGGTTGTAAATTTTAAAATTTTTATAACTGTTATTAGGTTTAGTTTGAATAATTAGTAAAAAAAATTAGAAAATATATTTAGAACTTGGTATATAGAGGCTATTTTTTGTTTGAATGAATATAATTTGCTTGGTATTTTTTGATATATCATAAATCAAAGACTAGTTGGTAGATTTTAAAGAATGATATGCAAAAAATATTGAATTTTTATTCTATTTTATAACAATTATATGCCTTACTCTAATTTTTCAAAAAATTATATTTTAAAAAAAATTTTTTTGATCCATTGCCACCTTTTGCTATGGAGGTTCCCATATATTGATTGTTTAGACTATATAGAGTGTTAATATTAAATAGCCATTTTTTACAATTTTTTGAAAAATGTTTTTTATTAGATTTATATAAATTTTGATATGATTAATATTTTTCAATTATAAATAAAAGGCAAATCTATTTGTAATCAGTGGTGACAGTTCCGAGCCAATCAGATTGCAAGATTAGGTTTGACAAAAAAATTTAAAAAATTACAGATCACAATAACTCAAAATTATGCCTATGAAACCACCATTTGTATTCTAACAAAAAATGTTTCTTGAGGCATTTTGCTATATAATGAACCTACTTCTAACTCTAAATCCAACCCTAACCCAACTCCGGTTACTGTCACCGCCGGTGACAAGCACATTTTTTCATAAATAAAAGTCAATTTGCATAATAAAAAATCAAGATAAGGCGAGACCAATTTAATTCGGTGGTTTACGTTACATCCTTCTCACAAAAGAGGAGGGGGGGGGACTGGAGGGAGTTTATTATAAAATTTTCCGAAATGCTCCGCGATATAATAAAAGTTTTCCGAAATTTTCCGCACATATAGAGGGGGGGGAATGGGGGGTAACGTAAACCACCGAATTAAATTGGTCTGGCCTAATTGTAAAAGAACATTACACAAGGCTGCGTAAAGACAACACATCACGAGATTACCTGATAGTCACCTGTTGCATTTAACCAATCAAAATCGTGAAATTTAATTAATCCCGGATCAGCCCGAAAATCGAAACAAATGATTATCTCAAAATAAAATATATGTAAAAAAAGAAGTTATACCAAAAAATTTCCCCGCACGTGATGGTGACAATCAAATCACAAGATCAGGTGTAACGTGAAATTCATGTTTCTCATGAAAATCGTCGATAACTCAAATTTTCGTATATGAAACCGCCTTCAATTCTCTAATAAAAAAAATTCCTTGCAAAATTTTATATATAGCATGTCCTTCTCTAACTCTAATCTAGCTCTAACAATAAGGTTTTAATGTTTTAAATCTTGCGCTTAATTCTTTTGATGAAATTTGATCACGTGCGGAGAAATTTTTTGGGGGTGAGCTTCGTAAACTTAAACTTAAAAAAAGGCTGTTTTAATATGTAACACCCCAAATGACCTAAAAATAATACCCAAATGCTGCTGGTTGGGGTATTTTTCACCGGCGATATACGGTAACAATAAATCAGATAGTCTAAATATACTTATAAATTAACTTTATTAAAATTCATAGGAAGGATGCGAATAGATAAATCACCAGGCGTATAAAGAAAATCACAAATAGATAAAATAGCCTTTATTGACACTGCTTTCTTGAGTTTCATCAAAAATGTTGAATTATTAATCAATATCGCACTAAACTTATGATAAACACCACATTGATGCAAACTTATGTAAAGTCCATTTTAGTTAAAATTTTTAATAAATCAGATACTTTTATGTTGCTGGTTGAGAAATATAAGAATCTTTATTTTTGCAAAATAACCAGTCGATTTGAAATTAAATCTGAGCTTTTAAATATTATTTATAAGCCATCTATTATTCAGAATTAATGTGACAGATTAAAATGAAATCGGATTAAAATGAAATGAGAGATAGTGTAAAATAGACAAGTCACCAAAAAGTACGAGTTTTTGGGTGTATATTTTTTTAGGGTTATAATTAGGGTTTAGTAGCAGGTTTTATAATAAACAAGTATAAGTGAGTTTTAGGGGGTCAAATAGAAAGCCCCTTATTTCATTTTAATCTGATTTCATTATAATCTGCGATAATAAATGTTACATTTTATAATTAAACATCTTTGGCAACTTAAATAAGAAAAATTTACAGTAAAACAATTAATAATATCATATTCGATTTGTTTTCAAACTTGATAACAAAGGTACGACTAATTCATCAAGATGATCTTTAAGTTTCAACTTCCTTTCATCAAAATTCTCACTTAATTCCTTAAGATAAGTTTGGTTTTTGCCTTTTGCATATTTCAAAGCCTCATTTACTATTTTTTGATCATTATAATAATCCCAGAAATAACCAAACAACATCTCAAGTTGATGTAATGTACCATCTTTTGCAATATATTTATGCAAAACTAATTGTTCAAATTCATTACTTATGATTTTAATTTCGTAATGATAAAATATAGCCGCAACATCCTTTAAATCATTTATTTTCCAATTTTGAAGCATGTTTTCCACTAAATAGTTGCAAAAGACTTTTTCAGATATAGGACGACCTCCTTTTTCTCCAAGCCATACAAGCAAATGCTTGTTAAGTGGCTTTTCATGAAGGACCCATAAAAAAGGTGACATATCAAACTCATTGAGTGTATTGATATTTATTACCATTTTGTTTGGAATAACTAAATCTGTTCCATTAAATGAGTTAAGACCTATCTCGTCAAGTGTGACAGTATTTTTTTCGTTGGTCGAGTTCGTACCAGTTTTATTTAATGTTGTGTTTGTTCCCAGGTCACTAGGAGAAACGATATTTAACTTGTTAGTAATCTGACTTGCACCATTGTAGTTATTGATCACAGTAATTGTGAGGTCTTTTATTCCTAATTCTTCAAGGTTTATAATAGTTGATGTGAAGAAATTAAATCGTTCCTTGATCGGAATACCAAGATGAATATAAATACCACAAAGGTAATGAAGAGGGTTATATTCTTGGCCATTGGAGAATTTATAGTCTACAATTGATTAGATGGGTTTATATTTTTTAAAAGAAATCAAATTGTAATTATTTAAGAAATTTTAAGTCTTACCTTTCATAATACGCAAAGCAATTAAAATGACTACTTGTTTGAATATCATTTTATTTTTTTCTCTGTTTTTTTCACTACTAAAAAAACCGGTATTTCTGCAAAGGAAAAAAAACAGACGTTTCTTTGCCTTTTGAGAAACTTTAACGACAGTCAATAAATAATTTAACATTTTAATGAGATATCTGGGAGGGCATGCAAGGATGACTGCCTCGAGCATATTTCTACAAATAAATGATCAAATAATTATTAATTAAGCATTAATTTTATCAATTATTATGATTAAAAAATACGTACCCCATATTGTTATTAGTAACATCAGTGATAGTTTTGTCCAGTTTCTTTAAGTCAATTTGAATATTTTCATCCTTTGGGAAAGAGTTTACTGATACTCTTAATGCTTCAATATTCCCCTTTTTAATAAATTCAATTATACCTTCCATATCCCGTTCTTTAAACTGAGATACCTTCTCATAATTCTCTTCAGCATCAACCAAAGTGTTTATTTTCGTATCAGAATGAATAGACACATTTTTCTCAGACCATTCGATTTTTTCCAGTTCTTCAAGTACTATCATAATCGTCTTAATTGGCGGTCGAACTTCTGGATTACTATCCCAACATGCAGTATAGAGTTCCACATAACGTTTCGGAGTGTTAGGAATTGGAATCTCGCGCGCATCAAAATCCGGAATTACTAATGTGTTAAAGCAAAAATCATCCTATTATTTAAGAAAATTTGAAATATTTTTTTAAACTCAGAAATTTACCAGATGGTGGACGATCACTAAATAATTCCCAAAATAGAACGCCAAGGCTAAATATGTCAGATTTTTCGTTACGAGGATTCTTAAAACCATATGGATCAAAGTATGGGGCTTTTCCTCGCTTATTCTGACTATCTGTTTTGTCATTAAATCTCCTTGCTAAGCCGAAATCAGCGATCTTAATTCGATTGCAACGAACGAGGACGTTATCAGAACTCTATAAATTATAGCCAATTAAATAATTTTATTTCATTAATTTGGATTATCAATTTTATGAATTTTATGCTTGCTTACTAAATCCCTATGGATTATGCCTTCTTCATGCAGGCACATAACACCACTTGTCATTTCTCGAGCAAAGACTAATTTATCTTTACAAGTCATTTTTTCAGAATTTATGCTTAAATAGTTTTTAAGCGAACGACCATCTGCAAATTCTAAAACTAAAACGTAATTATCTTCATCTGAAAAGAAACTATAATTATTAATCTATTTGCAGAAACTGTAGTAAACATTAAAGTATAATGATACAACCTTTACGAGAGACGCAAAAAAATTTTAATATATGCGGATGAAAATTCAAACTCAAATGGGTCATCAACTAATAAATTAATTCTTTAATATAGTAAAATATCATGAAATAATATGTGGGGTCAATAAAAACACAACAAATTAGCTTTAGATTTTGTTCAAAGAAATATATCTCATTACAATGAAAAGTTTTTGATTAAATTAATAATAGGTTTATTAAAGCTATTTAGTGTAATAAGATATATCATTTGAATAAAGCTTTAAAAATGATTTTTTGTGTTTTCTACTGGTTCCCATTCATTCATCAGAACAAAAATATACCTCTTTTTTAAACTCTCCATACTTATCTCTATTCTTGCCTTGAGAATCATCACTATAAGGCTTTATACTTTTAAGCGCCACGGGTAATTTGATACCACCCGTTTCCCAGTCGGCGTAGCTGATTTCACCGTACCCACCTTGGGCTATTGGTTGTACATTGGTAAACTTTGAATAACTAATACATTTAACATAACCGTCTTCTATCGCTTTTTGAAGCAACTGCTTATTATCGGAATTTGCTTGGGATTGTCCAGAAATGCTTGACATAATAAATATAGCAGAATAAAATGAAATTTTGTATAAAGTAAAATTGGCAAGCCACCGAAAAAATACAAAATTTTGGGGTGCATTTTCTTTTTAGGTTAGGGATTGGCTTTAGGAATAGAATTTATAGTAAACAATATAAGTGGGTTTTAGGAGGTTTAATAGAAACCCCAAATTTCATTTTAACCCGGATCCGTGACAATAAATGATCATAAATAGAAAAAAATTATTTATCTAATGTAACGGAAACTAAATGTTACGTATTGCCATTAAACTTTGTTTCTAGCTTCGTATGTACGTACGTATCTTCGTGTAACAGTAGAGTTATATCGTTTATATCTATCGCTATGCATGGTATTAAGTGATGATTTGAGCAATCAAGTTCAATCTACAGATATCTTCCCTCCACAAACAAAGTCCGATGTGTGAGAGAAAAAAATTGAAATGCTAGAATGATTTATGGAATGAGTCTGGAAACATTTAAAAAAAGCAAGCGACTCTTAATTAATGAAATTTAGTAATGTTAATCTCTTATCTCTTATTTCGTACACGTGCGTACCCATCAGAATATCGCCCTAAATCAGGCTAGCTTTAATTCTAAATCTTTGTATCACCGGAGTAAGCCTGGTGACTGTCTAAAAACTGATTGGTTGTTATATTAATTTCACCAGTTTCACCACATTCGCCAAGAATTTCACCAGTTTCACCAGCATCTAAGTATTGCCATTCATTGGCGGAAAATACGTGCATGATATGATATTTATTGAGTAAATGGTCAATGGACTGATTTAGCCTTTCATCTAAAGCTACGTACGTACGTACGTACGATCATTAACGCTATATATCATGTCTAGAACTACCATTGATATTAACAAGTCCCTTCCTGATATTCCTTCGGTAGAACTCGAAATACTCGAGGAACATGATGAAATGCAAGAAGAATATGATGATTCTGATCAAGATAACAATTCGATGGATGGAATGCCTTCAATGCGTTTTTCACAAAATCCAAAAGCGAATGATAATGCACAACGTATTTCTGAAAAAATTTCTCACCTTGTCATGGATATAAACCGTGGGTATTTTTAGAAGCTAGTACATGGTTAAAAAGCTTAAACCTTAAATATTTCGCACAATATGTAGGTAAAATGTTTGCGCATGACACAGACATTACAAAAGATGGCGAAGTTATTACAAAAACTATTGAAAGAGATATTAATGCCACTATAACCAATGGAAACTTTATAACTATTGGTAACGACCAGCGTGCAAAAATTGGTGGTATCCTAAGTTGGTGTTTTTGTTGGTGTACTTTTGTATGTTGAAATATTCAATTATAATACTTTCTACATTCTTGAATGACTTTGTATTCCATAAAATGGGTCTGCAAGGAATCGCTAAAACCGACAATATTTCGTTGCATCATTTCTTAATTATTTGCTGCGATCCATTTTGAGGAACATTATTACTTTAATGCTAATCATACTAATTAAGAATTTTGGGATTTACTTACAAAAATTAATTTATATTTTCAGATAACTATGGTGTATTTGATTAGTCTTATTGCCCAAGTGGCATTTTTCTTCGTACAGTATAATCAGTTTACTCATGGACAATTTGATTTAACTTCTCTCCCTATGTTCGGTCCAATTGTCGCCATGCTTTGCGTAACCGTTGTTGTTTCATTTTTTGTCGCGTGAGTATATTTATTTGCTCTGCTTAAACATTTGGTAATTTCTCACTTATTCTTTTTATAGGTGTTGTGTTTCAAACGCTTGGGATCAATAGTACCGTAAATTGCCGTATACAAGATCCGAATTTGTGCATTTCACCAATTTTAAATTTATAACAATAAACCTGGGATCTGTTGGATATATGAGTCTGTTAATAGGATATAGTAATAAATATTCATGTACTTAAACTTTACAGAATGCAATCTTCGATAATATTATTTGTCTCACATGCAACATATCGACGGATTTACGGAACAATAACTTTTGTATCGTTATTGTTAATTGCTCCATAATACATTAAGTAGCAATCGTGTACTTTTTAGCCATTAAAACCCAATTCCGAAAATTCGCTGATATGAGATAGGTCTAAAATTACATTTATATAGCATAGTTTATACTCCTACTTGGTTTTGACAAAACCAACTATATAGTTTAGTATGCAAATGAAATTCTATACTACTACTTTTTCGATGCTTACTAATTCTTCTTGTTCACTTAACATTTTTAAATCTAAAAATAAAATCAAATGCATTGGGAATTTCAATGAGAAATTTATAACTCATTTAGTTGATGAACCTTCTTGTGTACATGTGATCAGGATGTTTTGATGGTTCTGGTTTCACGTTGTTGGTGTGTAAAAATTGTTTTTTTGATTTGTTTTCGCATTTACTCGAGATTTCTTCAATCCAAATTGCGACTAGTAAATGAACATATCTAGCACTTCAGGAAGAGTTCATACATAGCTTGCTAATCTCACATAACGAACTGGTGTTCCAAGATCGAGTTCTTGTGATAATATTAAGTTCAACATCAAATTCATAGCCATTGAAAGTTCTATAACCAGTTGATATCTCCATCATGGTTACTCCCAATAAATAGATATTTTCTGCTTGTGTAAATTACTTTCCTGATAACACTTCCAGGAAAGACTCCAAAAATTCCTTATTTGTAAACAATAAAATTATCTATTACATCTTGTAAGAAGTTACCATTATGTAAATCTTTGTAAATGTCGCATCTGAAGTTGCAGCTTTAGATATCTAAAGCTGCACCAGACTAGAATTACATGCATGAAGATCTACTTAATTCTAGTCAGGCGTTACTTTAGATATCTAAAGTTTCAACTTCAGATTAATCGTAACTTCAGATGCAACAAATTTTGCAAAGATTTTACTTAAAAATTTCATTTCTGCATTTCATTCATGTTTTGCTATTCCATAGCATTTCAAAAATGATGGATATACATTTCAGGTTTCACAATATACCTTTAATTCTTCATTGTATTCTTTTGTTTTGATATTTTGAGCGCAGCAGGTAAATTGTAATCTCTATTTATACAGTGGTGATCAAAAATAATGGATCAGGAAAAAATGGTTAGATAGCATTATTTCTGGATGTTTCTTTTTTTTTTTGTTTTGTTCGTGAATATCATATTTTCACTCATAAAGAATTTAAAAAAAATTAATGATCCAAATTTTTCAGGAACACGTGCTTTATTTTAATTGACGTGCTGCATTACTTTTGCATGTATTTAATACAACACAAAGATAATTTTTTTTTTATCTTTATGCCTTTGTCATCTACCATCTAGTGTACCCTCCACGTACATTAATAACATTACGAATTCGTGCAGGCATGGATTGGATTAGGTTGACGCAGGTTTCATTATCAAACTTCTGCATACCATCTGGATCTTGTTTCACAGGTCTTCTTTGCTTGTAATTTGTTCGGAAAGGTTTTTAAGCCACTCAACCCACAAGTGTTCAATAGGGTTAAGATATGAAGATTGGGGAGGCCAATTCAATACTTATACCTAGTTGTTCCTAAACCAGCACATTATTATCTTAACTCTATGTTTGGATCATTATCCTGTTGAAAAATGATCTCTAACAGTGTTTATAAAATCTTCGGACAGTGTCACAGGTTAATAAGTAATTTTCATTACTAACAATTTACATCCGACATTTGTATCAATATTTATAAAATCTTCGGACAGTATAGTGTCACAGGTTAATAAGTAACTTTCATTACTAACAATCTACAACACCTTACATCCGACATTTGTATCAATATTTATTAGGGTATCCTATTTACTTTATTGTTAATGATACATTTTCTAAGTAAAAGTGCAAACTAATTCTTTATTTTTAGTAAAAAAAAAAAAAAACTTTTGGGATATACATATATAATTTTGGCCGGAGAGCTAATGCCGAGCGGAATTAAGATTAGAAATTTAAGGATCCGAAAAATTCCGCAGAAAAAATGAACGAACATAAAAGACAAGCAAGGTCAGACCGATAATTTCCGATTGAAAAAAAAATTTAATAAAATTTACTATGTATACGTTCCATTCCCCCCTCCCCTTTGAAAAAGGGATGTAATGTAAACCAAACCAAGCTGGTCTCGTCTTATTTATACATAATGTCGGGAACATACCTGAAATTATAACCGTCTCATTGTTAACCAACATGTCACCTGACCCTCTGGCACAACTTCACCAGCGTACCTAGTGAAAATGTTCAAAAATATCTGAAGTCGTTTCATATGTATGTATTAGGATTTGATGTTTGTATGTACATATAATAAAATTGCCTAAGGAATTTTTTTTGATGTACTAAAACTACATAGTAATAGTGTTCAGCTACATGGATGTCAATCATTGCGTGTTTGGATATACGTTGAGGTTGTTCTTTGGCACAAAAGAAAAGTTGAAATGAATATTCAGGTATTTATAATATACATTATATTGTATTACCGTATTGCATAAATATCCACCTATGAAATATGAATTAAATAAACTAAATAAATAGTATGCCTAGTTTAATAAATATTCGTGAGTTTAAATAGCTTATCAACGTATGTACGTTGCGTCATTTACGTATTTAATTTTTAATATCGTATGTATGTTGTAAAATAGTATATGAAAAGTTAAGAAGTCAAGTTATAATAAATTAATGTCTTTCTCAATCTTAATTTTCAAGTGGTAATCATGGTAGTTGCAAAATTCTTTGAGGATCTTTCAAATGATTTTTCACGACTTCTTAATGAATCTGATGATTACGACGTTACAATTCAAGCCGGAGAAAAATCAAATTTTAAAGAATTTAATGTTCATTCAAATATCTTGCGTGCTAGGTCACCTTATTTCAAAACTGCTTTATCTAGTAGATGGGCAAACCGTAAAGATGGTGTTATTGTGTTTAAAAAGCCAAATATCATCCCTGCCGTATTTCTTTTAATTCTTCAGTATGTTAAATTAATATGAATTGTATAAATTTTTATTATTGATTTATTTAATTAATTTTATTTATTCTTTTTTTTCCTTAATTTTTTGAGATATATCTATACTGGGGTTCTTGACCTAACCAATCAATCAGGTTTTAATATTCTTGCACTTCTTGTCGCATCAGACGAGTTAATTCTTAATAAATTGGTTGATTATGTCCAAAAGCATGTAAGATTAATCATTTCCAACGCGTGTATCTAAACTTTGATTATTATTATTATTTTACAAATATAAACATCAAAAAATTAATTAATTAGCTTATTAATGAAGAATCATCCTGGTTGCAAAAACATTCCGTTGTCGCTTTGCACACAGTTATTAAGCTCCAAAGTTGCAAAACATTACAAGATCATATCATGAAAACTATCTGCAAGAATCCAAAATCATTCTTTGAATTAAAGGAATTTTCAACTCTAGACAAAGATATTTTTTTGAAACTTGTCATGAGAGATGATTTAGATATTGAAGAAATTGATACTTGGAAATATTTAGTAAAATGGGGAACGGCTCAATCCACTCCTAAAGGAAAGTCTAAGGCGGATGTCGCTAATTGGGGAGATAATGATTTTGCATCATTCAAAAAGTCTCTTGATCCGTTCATACCACATATTCGATTTCATGAAATATCTCGGGATGATTTTTATTATCATGTAAGACCTTATAAAAAAGCGATACCAGAAAATCTTTATGAAGATTTGGTGGCTTACCTCATGGCCAATTTAAATCCCAAAGTTTCAAAATTGCCTTCACGTTGTGGATCTATTAATATCGATTCTGTTATAATTGAAAGAGACAAGGCTGCGGCCATTATTAATTGGATTGAAAAAAGAGAAATCTTTGCTAGAAAACCTTTTTATCAATTTAGACTTACTTATCGAGCAACACGCGACGGATTTGATTACAATAAATTTATGGCGAATAATTGCAGTGGCGCAATTCTTGGGTTAATTAAGGTCTCCGACTCAGATAGGATAATTGGTGGATATAACCCTCTAGGTTTGAGAAATATTAACTATAATAGAGGTTATTACAACAATGCGCGATGGGAAGCGACTAATGACAGGTGAGCTACTATCCATGATGATTCATAATTTTATTGATTGTGTATATAATTTACCTATGAATATAAATTTTGTAGCTTTATTTTTTGTTTTTGAAGATGTGAACGGTTCTAATACTCATATACTTAGCCGTGTGAAAAATTCTGCGGCAGCAATTTACAGTTATGATGCAAATTGGCTGAACTTTGGGAATGCTGATTTGATATTAAATGGTCAGAATGGATCTTGTACACAAAGTCAATATGAGAAGAAGATCTTAAATGCCAGTAATTTCGTCATTGAAGAGTTAGAGACTTTTGCCGTGCAAAAAAACTAAAACCTAAAAAATCAGCTCCACTTATTTGCATTGTAAGACGATTTGCTTATGTTTTTTGAA